AATAAATAAATATAATAACTTTTTAGTAACTTACTTAATAATCACAGTAAACTTATAAGCAAGTTTACTAACTAGCTTAACAAGCACCTTTAACTTTCTATACAAGCAAGTTAATTGTCTTATAAACCATTAAGAAAAAGGGGACCGGGAGGGTGGCAGCATAAACAATGAAATGAGAAATCGGATATTAAAAAAGAAAGAAACGTAGCTTAATCTTACTTTAAGAAAACTTATTCTAGTATAGTAAAGAAAATGTCCTATTTTGGTAAAAATATAGAATTGGAATTCTAGACAAAAATCGCTTCAAGAAATGCTTTTTTAGGTTAGGTTAAAGTTGGGTTAGGTTGCGTTAGTTTCTGGCTTAATATTCGATTGTTCATTTTCTCCCCCTGAAAACTCTTTTTTAGTGTTGAACAAAGTCACGGAAACTAATTTCCTTGTAAAGCAAGTTGATAACTTGCTTCTCAAGCATATTAATAACTTGATTATTACGCAAATTATTAACTTGTAGCTTAAAGATGATAAGTACATACTAATAATGCTTGAGCACTTCCGTAAATTTCAATTTTATATTTTCGAAAGCGAAATGTTATATTCATTTTTATTTCAAATAAATATACTCAGTAATTATTTAATTATATTTTTTTAATTTTTGTTTTTTTTTGTAATATATTGGCATCGTCGAATGGGGTGGAAACAATAAAAACAAAAGAATAATAAACAGTAGCAGTTTTTAAAACTAATAAACACGTAATTTTGTAGACCTTATTTATCTTGCAATATAGAAGTGCAATCGTTAAATTGTACTTTATTTATTTGGTTGCTCCACGTATACTCAATGGTCACATACATTTATAATTGGTACGTCTATAAACCTACTTAAAAAATATTAATATCTAATTATAATGAGCACTTCTTGTACAGTTATGTAAAAATTTAAATTTCTATTCGATTATAATTACTTAATCAAAAACTAAGTCTTATTCGTATTTCTCTTTACTTTTAAGAAGTGCTAAAATTACTTTTTTTAATTAAAATCTAAAGCTTTTTCATTTCCAAAACATATTCGAATTTTTCATATATAACTTTGAATGTAGTGGTAACAATAAAAACAAAAGAATAATGGAAGCAGTCGTAATTTTTAAAAATGACAACGTAATTATTTAAGCATAAGTTTTTAGACTTTATTTATAAGCTAAAGTAGAAATAAAGGTCGTAATTGGTGATTTTTCGATTTTTTAAGTGTAAATACAATAGCACTTTGTAAAATGTGCTTTTGAGTTTAACCGTTCGGTCATTCGTACTGCCTTTATGCGCGTTGAACGACACCACGTATATATCAGCGGCGCTTGCTTTATACACAACATTTTGTTGGAGGACGGGAAAATGTTGGGACCTCCGATATTTAAAAAACGTGCGTAAATTATAACGGTGTCGACATCGTAATAGTATGGAGCAGGCGAAAAATCAGCCATCGAGATTGTTCTTAACGTCTCCGGTCGAAAATAAAGACGATTTAGAAGAGGTAAACGATTTAAAATGCATAATTAGTAAATGTTGGTGCGATGAGCAGCCATTGTGAATCGCCCTGCTTCTTTCTCTTTTGTTGTGTCTCCCGTGTTCGCTCTAAGCGGGAAATTTAAATTTGGATTTTCTTTACAGAAATTAGAACGCAGTTATCAAACTCTCCAAAGCTTAACTTCGGGTCTTAGTGATAAGGATGCTCACGACGCATTAAACAACGCCCTTTTAAAAGAAAAAGGTTACGAGGAAGTGTCGTTTGGACTTTTAGTTTCCATATTAACAGAACCTCAAAATGCAAGCAAGTCTTACAGGGACCTCACACTCATTACACGAGATGGATTCGGTTTAGTTTTGACCCATTTGTCTCAGTTAGTTTTGGAGAAGTATTTGAAATTCAAAGATGTGGCCAAATCACAGTTAATATGGTTAGTACGAGAAATGATCAAGAATTCTGTTACCAATGTAGACAATCTCTGTTGGAATTTGATGAGACATGCAGCAGGAGGTGACACATCAATTAGAAATGTCACATTAGTCGAATCTCTTTTAGACATTTATATTGAATATAGGAACTGGTTAGAGAAGTTTCCTGTTCTTTTGGCCTCGGTTGTTTACACATACTTAAGGCTTTTAGAAGATCACAACGCGCCTTATCTAAGCAATTTGAAACAGAAGGAAGTGAATTTTTTAATTAATTTGTTACGAGAGAAGTTCTACGAATGTTTAGTGATAGGTAGAGACCTGGTGCGGTTACTTCAGAATGTTGCTCGTATTCCTGAGTTTGAACAGTTGTGGCGGGACATTCTGCTGACACCTAAGAGTCTGTGTCCATCATTCACTGGTATTCTGCAACTGTTGCAAATGAGAACGTCACGCAGATTTTTACAATCGAGACTGACACCAGAAATGGAGAAGAAATTGGTGTTTCTCACATCTCAGGTACGATTTGGTAATCACAAACGTTACCAAGAGTGGTTTCAGAGACAATATCTGGCCACTCCTGAATCGCAAAGCTTAAGATGTGATATGATTAGGTTTATTGTTGGTGTTATACACCCGACAAATGAACTGTTATGTTCGGACATTATCCCACGTTGGGCTGTTATAGGTTGGTTACTTACTACTTGTACCTCGACTGTTGCCGTTTCTAATGCTAAATTAGCGTTGTTTTATGATTGGCTGTTTTATGATAGTGAAAAAGATAACATAATGAACATAGAACCTGCAATCCTTGTTATGCACCATTCGATGCGTTCGCATCCCGCTGTTTCCGCCACATTGTTGGACTTTTTATGTAGAATTATAGCTAATTTTTATCCCCCGTTGAGTGATAAAGTTCGTGCCGGAATATTCTCATCGTTACGGCAAATATTGGATAAACGAGTACTTTCATCTTTACTACCGTTATTCGATAACTCCAAACTGGATCGAGAACTTCGACTGATGGTCAGAGAAACATTCAAAGAATTCTGTTCCTCATCATCGGAAAGCTCGTCGAAAATGGACGATTGTTTATCATCTCAAGGCTCAAAATTAGATGATGGAGATATGTTACATGTGCGTACAAATAATTCTTTAAATAATCATATTTTAGAGGAACCTGCCTTCAGCGACGAAGAAGACGACCAGTCAACGCCAATACACGCCCCAGAAGAAGATACGGACGACGATGATATACCACTAGCTAAAGTTAGATTAAAGGAGAAAACGGTCGATAATAAAAACGAAGAATTTTTACTCAAAAGTACTTTAAGAACTTTACTGAGCCAGTTACAAAATGAAAAAATGAAAGAGAAAAGATGTGAGCTTACAGAAAGGCTGATAGATGATATATTAAACACTGACATAGAACCTGAAGCACTAAGAACTTTAGCAGAGATGTTGTACAGTATTATCCAAACTGACTTGAAAGAAGATGTACTTCCAAAAGAACTGACTCAAGAAAATCTTCTAGAGAGTATTCGATCTCCACTTTTTACTCTGTTTAAGTCACTGTACAATTTTTTCAAGAAGGAAGATGAAAGTAAAGACCAACTTCTAAAGCTAATTAGTGAAATTTACAATTTCTTCCCAAGTGTAGGCTATTTGTTGTTATATTTTCTTAAAATTCAAGTAAGGACCGAGTCTTACAGGGAAGATGTTTCAAAATTGAATTCATTAAAGACGAGTGTTTACAAAGAGTTTTGCCACAGTGTCGAAAAGAAGCTGGATATGTGCTTGTTGGACGATTTGACGACATGTCACGTGAATGACACAACCTTAATGTGTTGGATAGTGCCTGACCTTTACAAAGACTTCAAGCAACAAATGATTAATAATGCTCAAATATTGCGGGTAATAGTTTCAGCAATAGACGCGAAACAACTTCAGGAATTCATCTTCTTGGTCATGCAGGGACAACTAGTGATGTTCAAAATTGACAATTTACAATCTTTATTGAAAACTAGTTTATCATGGGAAACAATAGAACAATTTTTCCTTTGGCAGCTGTTGCAAGCTCACGACATCACGATGGACGCCGTAATACCTCTCATTTCCAGCTTGGATCCAAATAAACATCCAGAAGCTTTAACAGCCATCACTCTCATGTCGAAACAGGACAAGCCGAATGCTGATGTGATAAAGTATTTGTTCTCTAGAGACGTATTAGACGATGACAATTTTGGCTTTAGCATGTTGAAGTATTGGTGCGAAGATTATTTGGACAAAATAAGCGACTTCGTTTCGAATTTACTTTGTACGCGATATCCTCAAGCGTCTCCTACTAAGCGGAAGAGATCAAGCAATAAAAGTATCAGTGCGTCGGTGCCCAGTGCCGATCAAGTGCTTGGACATTTGGAACAGATCCGTCACCACTGCGAAGTCACCAATGACGACACATTCAGCTTGTTCAGCACGGAATCGATGCAAAGGGCTCTGCAACTAGCCTACAGCAATAGCAGTGACAGTCAGAAGAAGCAGTTCAACAAGCTCTTCTCGTTAGCCGAAGAAGAAGAAGATGTTGTAACCAGTAAGAGCAGGTCGCAGGCGAGGGGAAGGAAAGCAGCTAACAAGCCAGCACCCAAAAGAGCAGTGACGAAAGGCATTTCGGACACGTCCGAAGAAAGCAGTGAGGTAAGAAGAAATATTTATTAAACATGCTATTGTCTTTGCATTCTCTTTTAAGAGAGATTATTTAGTAGTTTTCCAAACGCGAAAATTCCTTAATCGTACAGAAATTAAGAAAGTGGACAAGGGCAAGCTTGAGTTGTGTAACAATACATGCGGTTTTATTTCCTAAATTCGCTGCTGAAATAAATAGTACAACTTTATTTTAGCCTAATCTTCGGAGTTAAATAAAAACAAAAGTATTTTTTTTCGTATCAGAAGCATCGTTTATTTTTTGTAACATTTTAAATTAAACCAAAAATGTTTAGGCATGCACAAGCATTGCCCTTTCACACAATCTAATAATAAGAATATTTTGAAAAATTTGTCGCATGAACTGCATAAGAGTAAGTATATTCTAAAACAGTCAAAATTTCGGTTCGACAGCTGTAGTACCTAATTACTAGAATAATCAAATGGGATATATGGGCAGGCGCACGAATTACGTAGGAGTACCTTTTTGGTGCAGAATTTTAATAATTAATTAACATTCGGAAAACAAACTTATTAGCAGCATATTTTGAACGAATTTTTATTACATGTAAATGAAAATTGATTTGAGAATTTGTTAACAAAACATTTTCTTGATCGTACGTTCTGTACGTGTTTGTTTTAAAATTTTAATTTTGAAAAATATAATTATTGCATTAAGTTTTCTGTAAAAAAAAACTCATTACAACAGCTCATTATCGTGTAATAATTTTTATTTTGTAACAGCCATTCACCTTCGGTTNATTACCCACCTCAGGCTGAAAGTATGATGTGTATACTATTTTTCGTCATACTTATACCTATATGCCGGAAATTTGAACATTTGTGCCTCTTATTACTTTTTTATCACTACTGTTGTTTAAAACTTAAGAATTACTAATTTTACATGCACACTGTTTACAAAATGATATTGAGAGGTGCGATGAAGTAATAAATAATTGTTATTACGTCTTCAAGAGTTACATACCTATTTGAAAACTCTGGAAAATTTGGTGGCAAACGTCTTGCAGGTTTATCATCATCAGACAGAAGACATTCTCTGCTTTCATGTGCATCATCAGAATTCATAAACTTGTCAATTTCCTCGCTCTCCTCAACAATATCTTGCTCTGTTACAAAAGGTTTGAAAGGGGGTTCGGAATCTTCTTTTTTCTTAATCGAATAATTATAGTACTTTACGGCGTGCAACAAAGCATCAGGATTATTATTTTGTTCTGCTTTAGTAAAAAGGTTACCGATTTGTCGCTGCCACGCCAGTGGCAAACCCTCGAGCTGCCCAGTCTCTTTGTTTGTAAAAACATGAATATCATGAATTACATTAGTTGGATTTCCTATCACAGAAGGACCGTTATCATCTGAGTTTTTGTGCGTGTGTCTTTTAAATATCTTGGCGATATTCATTTTAATTGGCATACGGATACACTCCAAATTCGTAACTTTTATCAAAACTAAATCAACTGCTTCACCACAAATTAATAAAATATTACACTTACACCCATATTTTTGTTCACATTTTGCAATGTTTTGAGTTTTGTCTCATTTTTTGCTTTTTTCTTTTCGATTAACTGCAACCACATTAACGCACATTAACGAACATAATTTTTAAGGAGTGGTGCCTACAATTTTATAATTTAACTTTGACATTTTAGTATTAATCATAGACAATTATTAATCTATATTCATATCTATGTTTCTTATTCATAGCTTTCACAGACAAGAACTAGTTTCTAATTTCTTATAATTCAGAAGCATAGATAAGATTCAGAAGTGTATATATGATCGTCCTATTAATTTAAACTTCAATTTTACAATTAATTTAAAAAAAAAATGTTGGTAATCGAAAGCTCATAAAGAGTCATAAATAAAATCTTTTTTATTTTACCATGAGTTTTTTCTATATTTAATAAAAAGTAAATAAGTAACATCTAACGCAACCTGTAATCTAAAACTAACATAATATATACAAGATTAATGAGAAATAAATTTTAAGATGTCAACCATAGAACTAATCCTTACAGTAAATATAGATTGTACGCCTATAGATAATAGATATAACATATTTCATTTTTTACAACATCATAAATTGACAACTTGTTGATCTTTTACTTCGCTGATAGCCTCGGCTCTTATCTATGATTCAGAGATCACAACTTATCTATGGATCACAGTTAAAATTAGGTTATATTACTATGTTTATTTGGAAATTCTCTACAAAATCATGTTTTTGAAATTAATTTAAATAATTGCATTAATCGAATTAATTTTGTACATTTGTAAATTTACTGTTCTGGTTAAATTCCGTGATGTATCCCGAAAATTAATTAATATTTTTATCAATAGTTAGTACATAAAAATTATTAAGGTTATCCTTCGGCTTTGGAAGTGTTAATAAGTTAGTACTAGCGTTATTAATACATTTTATAGATTTTTTAAAATGAAGGAAGAGGTTGGTATAAACATTTATAATAGCAGAACGTTCTCGTCTTTAGATCCCATGAACTTTTAGAATCATTCACAAAGTGCCGAATCATATAAGGAACAAGGAAATGCTGCTATTCAAAGAAAGGCATTTGAAGAAGCAATCTTACATTATACATGTGCCATAAAAATTGATCCTCAAAATTCTGTTTTATACAGTAACCGTTCTTTTGCATTTTTAAAAGTCCAGCAGTATTTTCTAGCCATGGAAGACGCCAATGAAGCTATTAAATTGAGTCCAAATTGGGCCAAGGCAAGTCTATTGTCCCATTTTCTATTACAGTATATGTAATACATTTTGTGCACTTAAAATGTTGTTTAGGGTTATTTTCGAAAAGCCGCAATTCATCATGAAACGGAGCATTATTTGCAAGCTATAGAATGTTACCATAAAGCTTTAGAGCATGCACCTAATGATCAGGTTATAATAGAAGCTATAAAAACAACAGCTCAAAAATTACATAAAGACCAAAAGAGTATGTGTTGCTTTTTTTAAAGGTTTTCATTATAATGAATTATAATTGTATTTTAGGTGATGCCCAAATTCCTTGGGTGGGTGCTGGAGTGGGAATTGTGGTTGGAGTTATGGTTGTGATAGCAGATTATGTTTATACCAATAAACCCACTCTTACAGTAAGTATTATTAGATTTTCTATGTTGCAGGCCTCAAATGAACAATAAATTAAACTGATTGTGTACTTTCTTTTTTTTTATTGTTTTACTTTACAGCATCCAATTCTGATGGCAGTAATGACGATAGTAATTGCCCTTATAGGGTATGGGGTAGCAAAGGTTTGTCGATATTATATAAAGTGCCAAAGAGATTCACTTCTTCAGCCACCAATTGATTTATGTAAGTTTTATGACTGTTGCCATTTTTAATAAAGTAGAGAGAACATGGTTGGGAAATTATAAAACATATTATAAATAATCAAAGACAAAACACACTTGATAGTTTTACAAAATTCAGTAAGAGTGGTCCTATAATATTCTTTCAGCTTATTAAGTCATTATCTAAAAGTTTATTTGAAATTTTAGTTCAATATTATGGTAATGGTTTAATAAGTTGAAGCAGTACTGTAGGAGAATACTTATTAATGTTTATAAAATCTTGAACAAGTTTGTTTTACTTTTGGTTAGTTACAATTACAGCAGAGTTTTTAAAGAAGTTAAAGTACTAATTGATGCTTATATTTCTTTAATAATGTATTTATTTTGTAGGTCCCAAAGAAGAATATGAAAAAGAAAATCTTTTAGAAAATGAGCATAGAAATACACCAAGATACACTAAATCTCAGGCACGACAGCGCTATAAAAAAGGAAAACAGTAGTAATTAATTGCTCATAAAAAATGTATAATTGGTTAAAAATTTAATAGGGGTTGAACAAGGTGTACCTACTTACCTAAAAGGATGGGGTATAATTATTATACTACAAGCAAAATAAGTGGTATAAAATAATGTTAATACCTGTGGTGCTTGTTTTCTTTTAATATGGTAACTATTTTTTAAATAATTCCTTACGAATAATTTTAATCATTTATGAAACTATTGTGCTATAGTATTTCGAAATGAATATTTACTGTAGGTATTAAGAATTTTTCATCAATTGTTTAGGTCAATTTTTTGTTATTTATTTAAAGTTTTTAATGGTTTAATATTTTTAAACGTGCATTTAACTATTAAAAGTGGAACGGTATTCAATTTTAAGGGTTCTTTATCAAAAGAAAACCATAATGGTAAAATTTCGGTGTTTGTCTGAATGCCTGTGTGTCACGGTTGAGTAATTATTATGATATTTATTTATTTGCCCGTAATTTACAATGCATGCTACAGAAGGAAAAGATAATCTATGGTTATAAATATTTTTTTTACATTTTGTTAATTGTTCCTCATACATATTGTATCAATTCTTAACATTTAAGATTATTCATGGTCTTTAAGATGAACAATTGTTTCGGTTATGAAACAGCTATTTTTGGCATTTTTTGTCAATGATATTTTAAATTTACCGAAAGAAGGTAAATAAAGTAAAGAAAAAATGCAAAAATACTAAAAACGACCAAGCTTAGAATGATTATAAGGAGCAACAAAGAAATATTTTTAGAAAACTTCTAGCTCGGTGTTTTGGGAATTAGTTGTGTTATATATATTTTTTTTATTTATCACCAAAAATTTGCAAAAAAGTACTACAAAGCTACTCAAAATATAACCAGCTTATCTCGTGAACTTGTTGGAAGGCACCTGTGCCTAACTAATAAGTTCGATTTTAATCTAGTCTTCGCTGAAAAGCTGTTTGTTATGTAAATGTGTCTCTTTGAGATTTAAAAAAAAATTGCCTCCGTATCAAAACAAACCAGAGGTCATCATTTTATTTGCAGGCGAATACGATACAAAATATTGTGCAAAATTATTTTTAATGCAATAAATTACGCTAAATAGTGTATTTGATAAGGTACGAAACCCTCGGCGCACGAGTCGAACTCAGAGTTGATTTTGTTTTGAACTGCACACTAGTTAAGTTTTTATTAATGTCTGCGTTACTTATTATTTTTTGATTTATTATCAAAGATATGGGAAAAATATATTCCCCCCTTTTCTTTGAAATTTGCATACTTACAAAAAATCTAAAATAATTCACGCAGATAGTGTAAATATTACCGAGAAGAAAATGGTTCCGAAAAAAAGGATGTGTTAATTTTTGTTAGATTGTGGGGTCAAAATAAAATGGTTTTTAAATTAACGAAAGGGAATTATACATACTGGAAATCATTATCACCATTTTTTTTGTATAAAATGCGGTATCGGCACACGAACTTAATAAAAAGTGTTTAATTTTGAATGTAGTTAGTAAAGTGATTTTTATTCTTTAATTGTTATCGAACTGAAGCAATATGTATTTATTTATCCTCCTTTTTATTTCATTTAATTAATTAATTGTTCTTTTATTACCCTAAAAATAAGACGATCTGTAAGGAACTAAATAAAAAATAACATTTTAGTCAAACAATTTACATTCCTTTCTTTAACATAATGATTGTGATGCATTTATTGTAATGCAAATTTACTTTTTGTGTTTCATATCACAGTGGCGTAACCAAAGGAAGGCATTTACTGTACGCTACTGATTTATTGATGTTATTATATTACTGTGTGAACATCGAAATTTACCATCACGTTTAGCAATAGTCAAATAAAAGTAATAATAAAGGGTGTGTTGGTTTGATATTTTTAGTACAATTAGCATCTCCCATAAATTAGTTGTGCGCATGCGCTCTTCTCGCGTACACTTGGCTGTGCTTTTCCTTTTCCTAAATTCACGCATGCGCATTATCCAAGAATCGTTGCGCGGTACGAGAACGCATGCGCACAAAGAAACACCTAAAATTAACTCCTATATCAATGTTATAAATAAAATTCTTTACAATAATTGTTCACCTTTTAGCGTAAGTAATACATAAAAAAAATCAATTCAGATTTTTTATCGTCGTTGTTCGTTTGCTACAGGGATTATACTGGCTAATACATTTATACATATTAGAACGTGTTGTATAAAATAAATACACGTGATTACTGAATATTGTTACAATTAGTTAATTTGAAATTATATAAACCATTATCTTTACGGNAGTTAGTTTTGGAGAAGTATTTGAAATTCAAAGATGTGGCCAAATCACAGTTAATATGGTTAGTACGAGAAATGATCAAGAATTCTGTTACCAATGTAGACAATCTCTGTTGGAATTTGATGAGACATGCAGCAGGAGGTGACACATCAATTAGAAATGTCACATTAGTCGAATCTCTTTTAGACATTTATATTGAATATAGGAACTGGTTAGAGAAGTTTCCTGTTCTTTTGGCCTCGGTTGTTTACACATACTTAAGGCTTTTAGAAGATCACAACGCGCCTTATCTAAGCAATTTGAAACAGAAGGAAGTGAATTTTTTAATTAATTTGTTACGAGAGAAGTTCTACGAATGTTTAGTGATAGGTAGAGACCTGGTGCGGTTACTTCAGAATGTTGCTCGTATTCCTGAGTTTGAACAGTTGTGGCGGGACATTCTGCTGACACCTAAGAGTCTGTGTCCATCATTCACTGGTATTCTGCAACTGTTGCAAATGAGAACGTCACGCAGATTTTTACAATCGAGACTGACACCAGAAATGGAGAAGAAATTGGTGTTTCTCACATCTCAGGTACGATTTGGTAATCACAAACGTTACCAAGAGTGGTTTCAGAGACAATATCTGGCCACTCCTGAATCGCAAAGCTTAAGATGTGATATGATTAGGTTTATTGTTGGTGTTATACACCCGACAAATGAACTGTTATGTTCGGACATTATCCCACGTTGGGCTGTTATAGGTTGGTTACTTACTACTTGTACCTCGACTGTTGCCGTTTCTAATGCTAAATTAGCGTTGTTTTATGATTGGCTGTTTTATGATAGTGAAAAAGATAACATAATGAACATAGAACCTGCAATCCTTGTTATGCACCATTCGATGCGTTCGCATCCCGCTGTTTCCGCCACATTGTTGGACTTTTTATGTAGAATTATAGCTAATTTTTATCCCCCGTTGAGTGATAAAGTTCGTGCCGGAATATTCTCATCGTTACGGCAAATATTGGATAAACGAGTACTTTCATCTTTACTACCGTTATTCGATAACTCCAAACTGGATCGAGAACTTCGACTGATGGTCAGAGAAACATTCAAAGAATTCTGTTCCTCATCATCGGAAAGCTCGTCGAAAATGGACGATTGTTTATCATCTCAAGGCTCAAAATTAGATGATGGAGATATGTTACATGTGCGTACAAATAATTCTTTAAATAATCATATTTTAGAGGAACCTGCCTTCAGCGACGAAGAAGACGACCAGTCAACGCCAATACACGCCCCAGAAGAAGATACGGACGACGATGATATACCACTAGCTAAAGTTAGATTAAAGGAGAAAACGGTCGATAATAAAAACGAAGAATTTTTACTCAAAAGTACTTTAAGAACTTTACTGAGCCAGTTACAAAATGAAAAAATGAAAGAGAAAAGATGTGAGCTTACAGAAAGGCTGATAGATGATATATTAAACACTGACATAGAACCTGAAGCACTAAGAACTTTAGCAGAGATGTTGTACAGTATTATCCAAACTGACTTGAAAGAAGATGTACTTCCAAAAGAACTGACTCAAGAAAATCTTCTAGAGAGTATTCGATCTCCACTTTTTACTCTGTTTAAGTCACTGTACAATTTTTTCAAGAAGGAAGATGAAAGTAAAGACCAACTTCTAAAGCTAATTAGTGAAATTTACAATTTCTTCCCAAGTGTAGGCTATTTGTTGTTATATTTTCTTAAAATTCAAGTAAGGACCGAGTCTTACAGGGAAGATGTTTCAAAATTGAATTCATTAAAGACGAGTGTTTACAAAGAGTTTTGCCACAGTGTCGAAAAGAAGCTGGATATGTGCTTGTTGGACGATTTGACGACATGTCACGTGAATGACACAACCTTAATGTGTTGGATAGTGCCTGACCTTTACAAAGACTTCAAGCAACAAATGATTAATAATGCTCAAATATTGCGGGTAATAGTTTCAGCAATAGACGCGAAACAACTTCAGGAATTCATCTTCTTGGTCATGCAGGGACAACTAGTGATGTTCAAAATTGACAATTTACAATCTTTATTGAAAACTAGTTTATCATGGGAAACAATAGAACAATTTTTCCTTTGGCAGCTGTTGCAAGCTCACGACATCACGATGGACGCCGTAATACCTCTCATTTCCAGCTTGGATCCAAATAAACATCCAGAAGCTTTAACAGCCATCACTCTCATGTCGAAACAGGACAAGCCGAATGCTGATGTGATAAAGTATTTGTTCTCTAGAGACGTATTAGACGATGACAATTTTGGCTTTAGCATGTTGAAGTATTGGTGCGAAGATTATTTGGACAAAATAAGCGACTTCGTTTCGAATTTACTTTGTACGCGATATCCTCAAGCGTCTCCTACTAAGCGGAAGAGATCAAGCAATAAAAGTATCAGTGCGTCGGTGCCCAGTGCCGATCAAGTGCTTGGACATTTGGAACAGATCCGTCACCACTGCGAAGTCACCAATGACGACACATTCAGCTTGTTCAGCACGGAATCGATGCAAAGGGCTCTGCAACTAGCCTACAGCAATAGCAGTGACAGTCAGAAGAAGCAGTTCAACAAGCTCTTCTCGTTAGCCGAAGAAGAAGAAGATGTTGTAACCAGTAAGAGCAGGTCGCAGGCGAGGGGAAGGAAAGCAGCTAACAAGCCAGCACCCAAAAGAGCAGTGACGAAAGGCATTTCGGACACGTCCGAAGAAAGCAGTGAGGTAAGAAGAAATATTTATTAAACATGCTATTGTCTTTGCATTCTCTTTTAAGAGAGATTATTTAGTAGTTTTCCAAACGCGAAAATTCCTTAATCGTACAGAAATTAAGAAAGTGGACAAGGGCAAGCTTGAGTTGTGTAACAATACATGCGGTTTTATTTCCTAAATTCGCTGCTGAAATAAATAGTACAACTTTATTTTAGCCTAATCTTCGGAGTTAAATAAAAACAAAAGTATTTTTTTTCGTATCAGAAGCATCGTTTATTTTTTGTAACATTTTAAATTAAACCAAAAATGTTTAGGCATGCACAAGCATTGCCCTTTCACACAATCTAATAATAAGAATATTTTGAAAAATTTGTCGCATGAACTGCATAAGAGTAAGTATATTCTAAAACAGTCAAAATTTCGGTTCGACAGCTGTAGTACCTAATTACTAGAATAATCAAATGGGATATATGGGCAGGCGCACGAATTACGTAGGAGTACCTTTTTGGTGCAGAATTTTAATAATTAATTAACATTCGGAAAACAAACTTATTAGCAGCATATTTTGAACGAATTTTTATTACATGTAAATGAAAATTGATTTGAGAATTTGTTAACAAAACATTTTCTTGATCGTACGTTCTGTACGTGTTTGTTTTAAAATTTTAATTTTGAAAAATATAATTATTGCATTAAGTTTTCTGTAAAAAAAAACTCATTACAACAGCTCATTATCGTGTAATAATTTTTATTTTGTAACAGCCATTCACCTTCGGTTAACTTTGTCTGGCTACTTTAAATAAATATGTTTCAGAGTTTTTTAAATATCTTTATCTCATTAGTTCTTTACCTCCGCGCGTGGCTGTACCTCTTACAATTAAAAAAATTTAAACTAGCTCATATAGATTTTTCATTGCCATAGAATTTTGTTGAAAGTAAAATTAAAAATGAATACATGCTAATAGGAAAGAAAGAAGAATCTTCTAAAATTCATACACAAGAAAGATTAGGAAGTTGATTACTGGTTTATTTATTAAAAAATTTCTCTATTAAAGAAATTTTCATAACTCAAGTAAATGTTTTTTTAGTCTTATCTCGCAGCTTTGATTCTTTGTA